GATTCGTGTACAAATGGTAAAATGTTTATTTTGTCTTAAATATTGGATATCAAAAGCCCATCTTTTTCCGGTGAGATCACAACATGAATGTTGATTTAATTTGACAAATAAATCGTGTTTTTAATGTTGAAGATTTTGGATGATATTAAGTTAGAGACTTAGCTACTTTAATGGTTAAATTTTGAACTACATGTATTAAAAATCTTAACTATTTCTTTATATATCAGACATGTGCAGCATACATATTTATTTTAGTCTATTATGGTACATTTTTTCTCAGTTGTTTGATGTTAATTATCAATGAATTAGTGTATGTGTAGTGTGTACATGTGAGTGTATATAATATATATATGTGTTTATTTATGTATTTGATTTATTATTGTAATTTCATTGTGGGGTTGCCTGCTCTATAATCCAATTATCTTTAATAAATAATGTTAAAAAAAATTATTTATTTTTAAAACTCCCATAGACCGCTCCTTTGAGCAAGACCAAGTAGTCTATATATTTTTTTTTTAAATAGGGGAATGGACAAACAAGGTACATTTTAGCCAGTTGTTAGAACACAACCTGTATTATACCTATGCATTAATTTCAAAAAGTCATAATTTAGCAAACACAAATAACTGTCCACAAAACATCAGTTAATTGTTATTACATTGTCAAACCTTATTAGGGGTGCTTTTGTGGGTATATTGATATTAAAAGGTATTTCCAACCTTATATGGAGGGTTTGGGGATTAAGCAGTGTATGAGGGGGGGGGGGGGTGCTGGGCCTTGCCTTTGATTTATGCATAGTTATATTATTTGGATGCTACAGTGTCAACTTTATTAGAGATGAGGAAGGGTGGGCTTAGGGGATCTATTCTAACCAGTTAATATTAGGGTGAACTCGACAATGCAAAGTATGTATGTCTACACACGCAAAGACTACAGTAGGAAGAGAGCCTCTAATAAAATATAGCTTCACACACCTTGATTGATTTTGATATTTGGCAATTATCTATATTTATATTCGATTATATATAGGCCTATATCATTGCTATCAAACAACATTTCCAACCCTTCTCAAATTATCTTAATACTCGGAGCTGTGGTGGGACGTTAAACACGATGCATGCAAAAATTAATTCCACAGTGTCGTGTAGGCCTGCTTTCTTAAGAATAATACATTGATTCATCACATTTACACAGGCTACAAACAGCTTAAAATTTGTTGAGAGAGGACAAGCCCGTCAGGTATTACCGACAGCGGCTTCACGGGGGTAAGAGGGGTAAAGCTTGTCTGGCATCGGGGAAAACTTTCCGTCTGATGGGGTGGAGGGTCCGAAAACACGGCACATGTGACATAATCGCCAAGTGGTGAGCAGCTGTCAGTTGGACACTCTACCCAATGAGTCATCGCTGACCTAAATCTTTCACATTTATGCACTTATTACATTTTAGCCGACACCGGTAAATACCAGTATTAATAGTGCGCACTTTCTTTTCATTAGAAATATGATTTACAACGAGTTTGGCTAAAAAAAATCGACCTAAATATATTATAGCAAAACAACGACATTGATCTATTAAATTCTCCTTAAGGTCACGTGTATTTACTGTTATTCGCTATTTACTAGATTTTCATTGGCTGAAAGCTCGCCGTCTCACTACTTTTATTATTGCGAGGACAAAAAATGCTGTCGTTTAGATTATTTGCTTAAAACGTTTCTGGCACATAAATTGGAGTGTGGCAGTTTTGTTTACAATACATTAGGGTTATTTCTCGAGAAATAAATATTAAAACTTTCCACAGCGGTGAGTTGCAACGACTTTTGAAAACTAAGCTAGTTAGAACTTCCCAGTCCTCCGCCTATTAATGTTAGCCTGAATTATCCACAACATCGTAGTGAAGTCATTGTTTTATGATATGTATATGCTTAAACAGACATTATGCAAGAGCTAAATCTGCCTATTGCAGAGCTTTCTTTAGGCCTTAAATGTTATATAAACTATTCATTAGACATTTATTAACATATTTAAGTAGATAAGAACGGCTCGGCCATTTAATGATTTAATTGAAAAATGGTAAAGCGAGGCTAAGCCTCGAATAACCAGTACGGTGGTTAAATTCCGTGTTCACATCTTGTCAAACCTTCAAAGGCTGATATCGTCGCTCAGAATAAAGTAATTTAATCGAATCAACAAGTTCAAATAAACGACAGGTATTAGGGTCATTCCATGTCAAGTGGAAAGTGCTTGTAAAGCCCCCCCCCCCCAGACAATTATGTAATAATACATGCAAATTTATGTAAACCTGCAAGTTATATGACTCTAGCAATAACAGTGACTAAGAACTGAAATATGGCCATTTAAATAGGCATACCCTTTCGCAAGTTTTGAAACTGTTATATGACTCGATTTTTGTGATCTGATTTTATTCCTTCTAGTCAGCCTATATTCTTGAAAATGTGGGATTTGTACGAGAATGTTACATGGATTAAGAATTTACCAACAAATTTTACAGAACAAGTACCGTCAACTGTATATGGAGTGCCTTGCGTGCCAATAATTGATACTTGTGCAAAAAAAATCAATATTTCGACAGGTGTAGAAATTTTACTACATTATTAGAAATTGTTACTTATCACAATCATTTAAAATGTATCATTGGGTATTGTTTGAACAAACAGTATTAAACGGGCATTATGGGAAATTAGATAAAGAGTTGACAGTTCTCGCTATAATAGTTTAAAATATAGATAACGTAAATATAATATGCTGAAAATTTCAGTCAAATTGCTTCACTCTGAACCGAGATATTAGTTTTTGAATTTTAGGCTAGCCTCGATCATCATTACTAAAGTCGGTACGATAAAAAAAAAGAGCAAAGTCTGCCCAAAATTTTCTTGGGGAAGTCCCCAATACCCCCACAAGGACTCGCTACTTTGGCGCTCACAAGGTGACTTCGTTGAGGTTCGCAAGTCCGTTCGTTTGACATTTTGATCTCTGGTCGGATAAACTAGTGATCAGGCGACGGACGGTATCTGGTCAGATCTATTTATCACGACGATCGGTGCCTGACTAAATACTGTCAGACAGCATTTAACGCAGTCTATTTTTCAAAATTTTCTGAGGATGGTCCCCCATTTGGCGGTCGGGATTGGGCTTTGTCGCGATTCGCAAGTCCGTTAGTTTGACACTTTACCTCAACGATCAGTGCCTGAAATACTACCCCTAGTTGAAGCTAGTGCCTTTGCCCCCTTAACCTTGGCCTTTGCCCCAGCTTTGCCCCTCCAACCACCGGCGGGCGAAGGGGAGGGGAGGGGGGCTTCCCCGCAAAAAGTTTCGCCCCCCTCCCCACCGTGAAAAAATTGTCGACCATACAAAAAAAATAGATACACATTGCACCACGTGTCTTATTATGCTAGGTTCCAGTATCACCATGGTTTTAATCGTGGAGTAATCGTGGTGATCCTATCAGATCTTATCATATACGTGTTGATCGTATCGAAACGTATCCGAATAAATCTGCAAGTACCAGATCGTGAACTCAATACGGACAATGCTATCGTAAGGGCCAGAAATAAGGGATGGCTAGATTTCGTATTAGGTAGTTTCCAAATCTTCTCGCAAAAAAGGTATTGTCCCTTGTTGATGTCACCGCGGTACCTCTAGAAACTTGGGGTCGCCTCCGAATTTGGTTGATAAAGTATGCTTCTATTTACGGCCCAAGTTCGATCTGGTGGCCGTAGGCCTGTATGGTTTTTGTTCAAAGATGCATTATTGAAGAAGTAAATCTTTCATTTAGCCCATACTCAACTGTCTAGAACCTCGGATGGTTTTGATTTTCAACCGATTTAGCCTAAATTCGCTTGGCAGTTAATGATTTATTTTAAAAATGGATAATCCAGACTACATTGTTCTGCAAACGACGATAAATTCCCTTTCCATTATTTATTTTTTAACTATTATGAGTCAGATCTTTATCTAAATCCTGCATAATGCATCTTTAACTCAGTGAATTAAGTGACGTGTTTTAGTACACAGATATACGTGTTTGATTTTTTGTATTTGATTAATAATTGGTGGTAATGTGACCATTATATAATCAAAAGACTACTATTGATAAGTCATCAATGTATTATAAGTAAACTAATATATATGTGTAGGCCTATACCATTAATAGACGAGACGATTACTGTAATGTAAATTTATACTTTGTGTACACGTTTTCTAGGAATACTCCTTATATTTTAATAACCTGTCGAGTTGGTAAAGGAATGGGATTTAACATCTTGTCAACACAGCAGACCTACTGTAGTCATTTTGAGTATTGTGGTAGTTATTAAATTCTACCGCGCTCGGACATTTCCGCCTACTCTAATTTGAACCCCTACTGTCAAGAGATCTTTTACATACATACCAGTTTAACGGGACCTCGTTTCCGCTATCCGAAAAACTAAACTAGACACACACGCCGTTCAAATAGGCTTGTCAATGAAATATATATTTATAAATTTAAGAAACGAGAATATGAAGATTTCATTGATATCTATACGGTTAAGTAATCTGTTGAAAACTGAAGTATTTAGCCTACGTGACTTTTTGGTGCATCTAAACATTGGCTGACGAATGATACGGATGCAATATTTCAATCGTTAGTTTTAAAGTGCACCTAATTTTGAGAATTACTACCCACGCGAGTTTCCCACAATCCAATGTATGGAACAGGACCTGTACATATCCGTGTATTAACGTCATAAACGCATTTAACCTTCATTTAAATGACATTCTGGAATCGCGTCATCTTTATTCAGCCAATAGAATCACGGTTTCCCCCACAGGCACTGAAACAGCTTATACAACCGATAAATACTTTAGAATTGTGGTCTTTATTTTTTTGATCAAATACAGGAAATTGTAGTGATAGGTGTTTTGTAAAATTGTATTTTTCAAAATTATGGAAGTGCTAGTCAAAAGAATGTAAGTAACTATCCGAAAAATTCAATTACCTTTTTGTTTATCGGTTGGTTTTACCTACTTGCTCAGACCATGTTTAGTTTTTAACATGAGTGTGTGTAAGGTGATTTTGACACCGCCGGTACGGGCGAATATTATTATCATTCACTAGCTAATTTCACACAGGTCAACAAGCTGAACGAATACAGTGGTAAGTGGTTTAATTTAATTCTTTTGTAATAAAAAATAAAGGTAGCATATGTAATATTTTAGGCAATAGGCTAAATTTAGTCTTATTTATTATTCGCCTATTGATTTGCTATAGAAAGCTAGTGCAGCTAGCAAAGCAACCAAAGGATACAGCGTGAGGAAAAGATGCTTGAATCGTGGTGCAGGTTGAATCGATTTATGGCTTCGCTCTTACTTAGAGCAGTGAATGTCATTAACTTTATATTCATTTTGATTTAATTACTAATTTAATTGGCATTGCGTTATATTAAAAAATGTAAACACAGAAGAACCGCCCAGTTCTTTAATAGCTTTAAAACAATCATTATAACAATGTATTATAAATAATACTTTTTTATTATGAATCAAAGGCTGATATACAATATTTTATTATTATTTATTTATTAATTTTTTCGCTTATTCTTTTCTTTCTGTACATTTTAAATTGATTTAGTTCCATTGGAATTTTCCGATGTAGTTCGCCCTTTTCAGTATAGTGCAGGGTCTAGTCGTTCTGTGGGACGAAAAACTAACTGAGGCCCCGTGTACACATTGGCGTGCGTGCAAAAGATCCTTGCCGATTCATTGAGTTCGATTTGCCAAATTGCCAAACGTCCTGATTTAGTGGAACGAATTAAAGTTTAATCTATCAACTTAATAGTTTGGCGTGCACGTAAAAGAACCCTTGACAGTTGGAATTCGAAATAAGATTAGGCCGTAGCGCGGCTGTCCGGGCAAAATTTCCCTCATAGAACACTGCATGGCATATCCCTGCCTTCATTGGCCCAGTCGGTGCAGAAAAACAGGGGGCCCAGTTAGTAAGACGTTGGCTCGCTAACTTGGAGGTCTCGTGTTCGATCTCTGCGTTGGCCGAGAAAGTTAATCGGGATTTTGGGGCGTGGTTCCCCCTTGCCAGTGATGCAGGACAGGGGAGGGACACCGTGAAGTCGTTCACATTGGCGTACACGTAAAAGATCCACTGGCAGTTGGACTGCGCCACTGTCCGGGGAAAATTTCCCTCGTAGTACACATGGCGTTGTATGTCCGTCTTCATTAGCCCAGTCGGAGCATAACGTTAAACCAATTTCATTACATTTCAGTCAAACCCGGTGGATTTTTGGGGTTTTTTTTCAAAAAATTTTAAAGGAGCTAAAGCGCTAATATTTGGGACCTAGAAATTGACACAAATGGGTCGCAACGCATATAATTTGTTACAAATGGGACTGAAACGCATTATGGTACATTGGTACACCGTGTACCACTGTTAAAGTGTTTATTTTGTCTTGAATATTGGATATCAGAAACCCATCTTTTCCTGGTAAGATCAAAACATCAATGTTGATTTAAATTGACAAATAATTCGTGTTTTCAATGTCGAAGATCTTGGATGATATTGAGTTAGAGACTTAGCTACTTTAATAAGATGCATAATATAATATGTATCAATGAATTTTATTTATTTCATCTAGCGACCAAAGTATTACGATCCAATTGAATAGTATCAATATTTGGATGCACATTGGTCAATTGTCCCGATATTACGCCGTTTTGTTCAGTTCACACTATCATCTATCTTCTATATTATCTATATATATATATTTGTGACTGTCGTTTGTCTGTCTGTCTGTTCGGGGTTGGCGGCTACACTAGGGCTGCCCCGAAGTCTGAAATTTGGGGTATAGGGGTAGCTCGTACCGGGGAGTAACATAGGACAGGTGGCGTTAGTCTACCACTTCCGGTTTCGGAGTTATGACCCCCGAGCAAAGCCGGTCTGTTCGGGGTTGGCGGCTACACTAGGTCTGCCCCGAGTCTGAAATTTGGGGTATGCCCCACCTCCCCTCAAGCCACTATTGATGTCCGCCGATCACGGGCCCCATAAATGCGCCGAGAAGTGTGCCGTTTATGAAACGTGGGGTTTAACATCAACTCGACACAAACTAGGTCATCTCTGGACTAACATGGTTCAATTTTATTTCAGTAATTCGCTTGCACGTAGGGGTCTTTAGCAGTGGGGGGGAAACCGGAGGACAGAAGACCCACGAGGTTAGACAGGCGACCCTACTCCTTGTCACGTATAACAGGGAAATCGTAACCGCGCCAGTTGACTCAGTGAGGACCTTATGATACAACGCGCACGCGCTGACCATTCGGCCATCCAAACCCCTTGATATTATAGAAAGAAAAATGGAAAGAGTGGATTATTACTTTTGACACCGAGTAGTGTGCCGGCTATGAAAAATATTTTATTCCCGAAAAGCCCAGTTGTAAAATTAAAACATTAAGGATGGGATGAATTATAAGTTTAGAAGCACTACTTGTTTGTTACATGTACTTATGCATTTATCATATTCAGAGATTCTAATGATTTCATTCAACGTTTGTTTTGTACGAGAAGTACGGTATTAGGTCAAACGGTGAAGAAGAATCGTAGCTATTGATGCTCGTTCCCAATAATAATCGATAGATCTTTAACAAGGAGCCCAGCATTTCCATTTTGACTATTGTTCCAGTGTCGACTGCTTTAGGCATGATAGCAGGGTGTTTTATTGAATACCATCCTATATCATTACGTAAAGAGAATTTGATACTCTAGCGGATTTCATGTCAAATAAAAAATATATCACAGAAACATAACAAAATGGTCATTAAGATAGGCCCCTATCACTTAATGTCATGTAAGTATAAAATGTGGTTATTGATGTCAGTTTTAACGTGAAAATTCAGTGGCCCCAATTCATTTCTTAAATATTGGACAAAGTACCTGAAACCGTCACCAGGATCGCAGCCAATTGAATTTGTTTCACAATTTTGAAAATGTTGCACCAGTACTTTCACCCAGGACAGCGGCGCTATGGTCTACTCTTATATCGATTTCCAACTTCGAAGAGGCCTCGGTTTTTCATCCAAATCGAACGCCATACGTTGTCCCTCCTTCTGTCCTGAACCATTGACACGGGGAACCACGCCGTAAAATCCTGATGAACTTTCTCTGTCAACGAAGGGATCGAATACGGGACTTCCAGGTTAGGGAGCCAACATCTTACTTTTATTTACTGTAGTCTATAATAAAATTGAAGCTGTAAAATGAAAAAAAAGGGAGTCTTCCCCCCCCCCCCCCCCGCCTTTAAAAAGTGTGTCGCTTTCGGGGTGACTAACGCCTCATCTACTTGCCATATTTGATAATGTATTTGCTCTTCGTCTAGTCACGCATGGAGTATACAAATGTTTATCAACAGATTTAACTATTTACTAACAAGGGTTTTAATAAAGTACATCGTGTTGAATGAATGATTCAGACATGGACAATCAGTTACAGAAAACATCACGGTCGTGATGTCGGTTTCTAAACTGAGTTGGGTTTTAGATCACGCAGCCACCACATACCCCAAAAAACATGATGAGACCTGAGGTCAACAAAAAAATCATGACATTACATACATATACCCTGATTAGAATATGCGTGATAACGTAGTTTCTGTGTACCCAAAATATTTTCATCTCCTTAACGTCTACAAGGGCGATATTGAATTACGATTGACTATATTTGATTAAAATACAAACCTCAGTGTTTCGGGATTTTATTATACCCCTATCGGTTAAATCGGTGGAGCTGTACATTTTCTCTCCGTCCGTCCGTCCGCTCCGCAGCTATCGATATGGTTTCCGGGAGGTTTCAAAATTAAACTTTGAGATATTTGATTGAAATTACGTAACCCCCTGCTGTATATAGCAGATCAATTTCGCGATCGTGGGATTCCGTTATTCTTTGCATTAATTATGGCCCTTTGATGATTCAAAATCAATAAAAAAATTTGTTTTCCCGGATCGAAATTGAAATATTTGATTGAAGTGGCTCTGTATTAATTTGCTATTTTCCGGAATTATTTTAGGTTTACACTTTGAGGTGTTGTATTGAACTTTGGTAAACTGTTTTGCTTTGTAGAGTTACAGACCAATTCATTGAAAATTCAGTTTTGACTGGGCAGTGTGGGTAATTGACCAGTGGTCTGCTTCCACTTGTTCGACAAAATAATCAGAAAAAAAATTGACGTAGTACAGCAGAAATGCTATGAAATGGGGTTTAACATCCTACGGTTTTGCTCCGACTGGGCTGATGAAGACGGACATACGCCATGCAGTGTGCTATATCTGAGGGAGATTTTGCTCGTACAGGGGCGCTACGGGCTACTTTTGTATCGAATTCCAAACTGCCAAGGGATCTTTTACGTGCACGCCAATGACTACACGGACCTCAGTGGGAAGCATTTGATGTCAACTGCAAACAAATCTATTGGCGAAAAATCTAGATGTCTTTACATCGGACACGCTACAATTCTAACTCGTGATATTTTAGTTATGGACCCTGTGTCCCTACCGTGTAAGTTTAAAGTTCGTTGTGGACAGTTGGTATCAAATTACCTTATTTATAAACATCTGTAAATTTCCCCGATATAAAAGAAAAAATAATCGACCTCAGCTTGAAATATATGTTAATTGATAATCTGTGGTGATAAAAGTGGGCTTGGATGACTTTATCAAGTGGTTTATTTGTTGTTGATGATAAAGCGACTGGTGCACGTTGTGTGATTACGAGGTTTGTACGTGATAGATAAAACTCATTTTACTTTACGAGATATCGATAAACTTAATGACCAGATTTAATGGAGTGGTCTGATGACCCTTTAAAGCGCCTCTTTAGAAAGTTGGGTATTTATTCCGCGAATTTCACAAATTCGGGATAATTTTGTAGTTATGTAAACAAGTACGTATTTTGTTTCGCCTTCGGTAATTAATCTATTTTAAATTCCCGGGTCGTCATTTAAGGGATTTCTAATCCCCTACAATTTTATTAAAACAATCTGGTTACTTTTTGTCCTTGATCACTTATACGTGACAAGGAGTAGGGTCTCCTGTCCAACCTCGTGGGTTTTCTCCGGGTCCCCCGGTTTCCTCGCACGGCTAAAGACCCCTACGCAGAAGGGATTTATTGAAATAAAAGAATAAACCATATGTTCGTCCCAAAATGACCTAGTTTGTGTCGAGTGGACGTTAAACCCAATTTCTCACTCTCCTTGGTCACTTTGTAAAATCTTGTGAACGCTGTATGGATTGTTTGAAATTGATAATTATTGGTCAGATTATTGAAACGATAGGGTTTTTCGATTTTCAACAATTCAAAGTTTTGTTAATTAGACTAATGACCCCTTGTGTGTCCCACCTTTCGAAGAAAGCAGGGAACTGTTAAATTGCAGTCCCTGAGATCTGACAATCACGCTGGAGTGATAAAATGTGTTCGTCACATATTTTGCCGGAGCTATTTTAATAACACTGCCAAATTTATATCCGAGACAATGTTTTTCATAACTAGTTTACATCAAATTCAAACTCAAAGCTGTATAAATTATAAATAAACACTGTTTAAAGGCTAAATGTTCATAAATAATAACGAACAGTTTACTGTACCAGTGTTATTTTGATGACGGCTGTAACTAGGGGTAATATGATGACAATATGGAAAAATTGACTACCTACTTCAAAGCTGCATAAATATTAATTGTTCATGATCAGGACTGTTCTCTTTGAATATCTTGGCGACATGAAGGGGGTCATTATGCACCGCACAAGCAATCAAGTGGCTCAGTCGGTTTTGCGTCATGGAATTGCGCAGCTGAGTTTTGATACGACGCAGAGTGCTGAAGGATCGCTCGGCTGAGGAGGAACTAGCAGGGTTCAGCGGTGTGAGATGAGAAGAGCTTCGACAGAAGGGAACGTCTGCCTCACTTCAGGTGACATAATGAGGAACGCTTCGTGCACAAGTGAAATAGATTTGGCCGAAAACTGGAGCTTGAAGAATGGCAATTCTTGTTCCAAGTCAGCTCCAGATACGTAGAAACAAGCTCACCATCATGTGGATATAAACCTGAAAATCTGTCCTGGCGATCAAAATCATGGGGGGGACAGAGACCTATTCGTCCCCCCCCCCCCGCCTTCTGATTCTGGCGCGTCCCCCCGTCCCACCCCCCTAAATCCACGCCCATGCAACAGACAGGTACGTCATTTTGATAGCGCCACTAATTTATTGTTTTGCTTTAGAGCGGTGGGACAAGCTCAAATTAAATTTACATAACGACGTGTTGAGGGCGTACGATCTAGTCACTAATGGTATCATTGTAGGTAGTCCACCAAACGTTGACACAACGATACTGGGCTTCCGATATTGCCTTTCAATCACACATTATGCCACGTAAAGTCAGCTTGTGTGCGTATTATTTATTTACTATCAAGTTACATGAAATAATGAACAAAAACAAGCCTCTCTTTGATAGATAATATTTATAAAACTGCATCGTATCCACCGCCATACCGGTAAATCGCTAATTATGATTGGCTACTATTTTTGGAGTTTGATGTTCTAATGGAAACAAAGGCATTTTGAAAATGTTTTTGGTTTTATATTCTTTTAATTATTTAAAACATAACTGTCAATGTTTTAAATAGCTTTGTCAAAATTCCCAAATAAAAATTTAGAAATGCGCGTGTAGGTATTCTTTACAATCGATCTAAATTTTACGTTTCCCTTCCAGCCTCGCATGAGTTTCTTCAGAAATCGCTCGTTAAATTGATAATTCCATGTCTCGAGGATAACTTTGCACGCGAATAAATGAACCGCGATGTGATGGTGACATCGACAATCGACATCGGCTTTGTGTGGAGAATTCATCCGTAGTTTCGGGGACGATTTCGCCTACTATTTTGAGCCCAAATATCGATATTAATAAAATTGAATAATTTGCTGGCGCGATAATTCGATCATATCTTAAGGCCTGTTTAAATGGGTTTGCACGTTTGTCTGCCCCCTTGTACGATATCACTATAAATTTAAAACATCAAGACACGGCGATGATGAGCATTGTCTATTCAGCTGATAAGCAATTTTATTGGCTCAGACTTTTAAAACACATCAACCCTACTTCTGAGGGGGAGTGATGAAACCAAGTTCTATAATGAGCACCTTCTGCTTAGGTTATACAAAATAATAAACAATGTGATTGCTAGAAATAAAATGAAATGAGTTTTAACGTCCTACTGTTCTGCTCCTGTGCTGGGCTAGTGAAGACGAGGTGATTGCTAGAGGCTTTACGGAAAGATAAATGTGGAATTTATTATGTGGTTGGGCTTACTGTTGTCTTTGTAGAGAGTGTTGAAATTATGCCGCGTCTTGTAACATTTGTGGGATGTCTAAATAACTATCAATTTATAAAGGCTACAATCTGCCTTTATTTTTTATTGAAATATGACAGTAAATTAAAAGTAATAATGGAAACAGAACAAAGTAAAAATTCAGACTGCATTATTTAAGAAATAAGTCTTATAAACGTAATATGTAAATAGCCAAATAGCCAATTTACTAATATGTAAGTTAGAAGTTATATGCATTTAAGTAATCATAATAAGTAATCATGGTGAAGAGTTGGGATTATGTCGTGAATTCCACTCCATAATAAAGAAACTTGTCGGATTTCAGCAATTCCCGTTGATTACTTCTGGCGTTATTAAACATGCTCAATTTGCAGAATCGTGTAAATGCTCTTACGATCTGTTTGAAAAATGCACTGGTCATATAAGTGAAACAAAGAAGCCTGTCGCATTTCAACAACATGGTAGGGAATTTGGAGGTGATCATTCTAAGATGCTAAAGGCTATATTTTGTTAAAAGGAAAGGACAATATCCCATGGGACGAAGCAAGACAGGTGTACTTTAGAGGAGCAATCTTAAACATGTTTGACTTCTTTGGGAGCGCTTGACGAATATGCTTTTCGAGATAACGGGATTAAACTAAATAATATACTGTATCGCATAGCTAATGTTATTTTATTGTACTTTTCAGGCCATGGAACCTACAAAATCAAACAGGGTGTCGAAATTGTGGATGTTTCTAGCAAAGGTTGCGCTGGTAACACTAGTCCAAGAGGAGACAACTCAATCAGAACAAGATAATCCCGAGACTATTACTCCCGTAAGCCAAGAAGAAGATGAACTTTCTAAAGTTAAACTTCCGCGAAAATTGCCCTCAATAATAGACATTAAAAGATCCATACCAGCTCATTGCTATAAATCAAGCGTGAAAACGTCACTTTATTTCGCAATCAAAGATGTTGTATTGATTATTGTGTTATATTTCATAGGCGAATTACTCTTAAAGTATTTACCCTTATGGGCTATAGTAATTACAGCACCATTGTTTTGGTTTATTCAAGGTACTATTTTTACTGCCTGTTTTGTAATTGGTCATGATTGTGGTCATGGATCATTCTCCAATTATGATCTAGTCAATGATACCGTGGGTACAATCATGCACGCTTTCCTGATGACTCCATATTTTGGATGGAAAATCTCTCACAAAAACCATCACAAGAATACTGGTAACATTGACAAGGATGAAGTTTTTTATCCTATCCGAAAGAAGTTGTCTACTCCAGGACCTTCTTTACCAGGTTTCGGGCTGGCTCTAGGGTATTTCGGGTATCTAGTATTTGGATATGAACCACGTCCAGTTCAACACTATAACCCGTTCCAGAAACTTTACGTGAAACACGTTCTTGGCTGTTGCATATCCCTGGGCTGTCTGTGTTTCTGGAGCTGGTGTCTGTACAGTTATGTGATGAGTGAGGGCAGCGTAAAGTTGTTTTATCACTATATTGTTCCATTATTTATATTCGGATCTTACACCGTCATCATCACCTTTTTGCATCACACCGAAGAGGATATCCCATGGTACTCTGACGAAAAATGGGATAACGTACGGGGACAGCTGAGTTCTGTTGACAGACATTACGGTATTGTTCATGACGTTCTACACAATATTACCACCCATCAGATACACCATTTGTTCCCAAAAGTGCCCCATTATCATCTGGAGGAAGCTACCAGGGCTTTCCGGGCAGCTTACCCAGAGCTAGTCAATATACGAACTGACAGAGCACTTCCAGCATTTTGGAGGATGTTCAAGAAGTATGCCAAACAATCAGTCATTCCTAACGATACTCAGGTTTACCTTTACAAATAAATTTTAAAAATCCCCGCACAACAGCAGTACAAAAACAGACTTAGGTAGAATGAGAGGCAGTTTATTCATCTTCATAACGTTTCAGATTAAAAGACGCTTTATCAAATTATAATTGTCGTTTAATTAGTTTAGCCATGGTAAAGTACGATATAAATAGTTGATGTATGTACTTAATTTTATAATTGATTCTATTTGTTCCTACAATATATGAGCAGGTAACTTATTAATGATACTCATTCTGTCCTAGTCAACGTCTAGGATATTGTCCCTCATGAATTATTGTTTTGTATATTAATAATACATGTAGGTGTTTTCACCGAATATATCTGAAACTATAACATTGAGCAATAGTTTGAACTTGGATTTCTACGCTGCAGAGTGTAATGATCATTTTTGAAGTCATTCGTCACCCAAATCATTATTATGGTGCGGTTTATACATTTTCGTTTGAAAAGTCTTTTACCGGAGGGTAGTTTTTACTTTATGAATGAAAATGTAGTAAAAGGGATTCTTGTTGGCTAATAAAGTGTTGTTTTTTTCTTCGAGCAATCTGGTCAAATAAAACACTGTATAGTAGATATGAATACATTAAAATATTGTTTGTTACGAAATTATTGTGTGATTGGGCGATGATGAGTGTTCTTTGTATGATATATAACATTTTAAACAAGATTTGTAATTGTCAAACGTTTCATATCCCGGTGCTTTGTGTCCAACGGCATAACGTGTGTATGATTCATTTTAATGTTGTTTAGTATTTCCTGTCTTATTTATGGATATATTTGCATATTTACCGTGTCACTGTTTATAACAATTACCCCCCCCCCCCCACCTTGTGGCGATTTTAAATATTAAATGGGTCCAACTGTTTGTCACATCTCTTTGGAACACAATAATCTTATGTCTAGTTAAGGTAATACTCAGCATGGGTATAGGTATTCATTGGCTAATAAATGCTCAGGATAACGTTGATTCTAATTGAATGAGAGATGTAGACCTACACTTTCATTACATCAAAACCTTAACTACAAGTTCAGTAAGTTCCCGACTCGGCTAATTGCTCAAGACTGTGAGACACGTTAAACTATGGAAAAATAACGTTGCCAATATTATTAGTTCAATGATCACGATGCAAAATGCATATGTCAGCAATTCAAAATACATATTTATTTTTAGTTTTACAATTTTCCATTTGCATTGCTCCACAATACCAATGCCACGGTGTTGAAATACAGAATACACTTTTCAAAAATACAAAGTATAGTATAATAGTTATTTTTCACATTAAACTTTTCCATTCTGTATTTTGCATAATAGACAAATGCATAACAGAGCTTAGCATAATTAGACCGTATACATTATATAGAATCTACAACGAACCTTATTTGCATAAGCAACCGATCTGCAGGAAGCGGCCGAGCTCAAGCTGGCATACAATAATTCGACTTACCATGCCAATCTGTTTCACAGAGATCTTTTAATATCTCTGTAACAGATGACTGTTTCGACACGTGACGTCCAATCATTGGCTCAATAGCGCGTGCATTGTTTACATAAGACGTTACTGATTCGGGCTAAATGGTGAATTTTACTTGTTTTAATACCCATTTACACTAAATAGGAAATGATTTTTACCAACAAACAATTCAAACGTCTGTATTTATTTTTCTAATAAATGAAAACATTTAATTTGACGGAAGAAAAAAGTTAATATTTGGGACTCATTAAGTTGCATCGATGTCATCCTTATCAGTGATTGTAGAGGCCTAGCGAAAATTCACCGCTGATCAGTGCGTTACCATGCAATGAGGGAGAATCAAGCTAGCATGCAATAAGGAATTCGCTGGATGAACATGACTTCAGTAAAATCATGCGCTCAGCTTTCGATAGGCCCCACATTTTTATGCGTCAACATTCATAATGTGGACGTACTGTGCCGTCGCCCCAGTCTGTATGTGTGTGTGTATGTATGTGTGTCTGTGGGTCGCCTACAAGGCAAAATTCTTTATGGATTGTCTTGAAACTTTGCATTTCCTTATACCAGTGGTTCTCAACCTTTTTTTGCCAAAGGCACACCTTGGAACACATGAACAAATAACGGCACAACTGGCTAAATATATATGAAAAATATTTGAATTTTGCAAAATAAAAAACATGGTAAATCAGACGGAATACAACGGTAGACAGAGACTAGTCATAGACACATAGAATAACTCAAACTAAATAAAGAAAAACATAGCTATGAACTTATCAGTAGACACCACTACCAGTGAACATTCAATTGGAATCACGTGATTTTTTACATTTTCTCACTGTGCCGTTCAAAATTCCGAGGCACACCTAAAGGCCACAATGTTTAATGGATCGTCTTGGAACTTGAAATAAGTATTCCTTATAGCCTAAGGACGGCAACTATTGATTTTGGTGCAATATCCCGATTCAGGGGCAGAGCCACGCCCATTTTTTGTGTTTATCGTATACTGGCCGCAATTCTGATGGGATCATCCTCAAACTTGGTATATGTATTCCGTATATCGTAAGGGCGGCAACTATTGATTTTGGTGCATGTCCCGACCAGAAGGACAGAGCCACGCCCATTTTTGTGTTTAGCGTCTGAAGGCCATAATTCTGAATGGATTATCTTGGAACTTATTCCTTATACCCCAAGGACGGCAACCATTGATTTCGGTACATGGTCCGTCTCCCTAGGGCGGTGCCATACCCACTTTTTATGCGCCCACATTTTCATGTGGACGTATTATGCCGTCGCCCCTGTCCGTCCGGACGTCTGGACGTCCGTCCGTCCACAATTTGTTTGTGGACACTCTAGAGGTCACAATTCTTATCCGATTTTGACGAAACTTGAAATATGGGTTTATCTCCAAAAGATCTCGACTGCTTTCGATATTGGCATGTATCGGATTGAAACTTCATGGATTATGGCTCCTGTTTGTACGAAAAATCACGTTTTTAGCGTGTGGACCCAATAGAGGTCACAATTTTTATCCGATTTTGTTGAAACTTGAAATGTAAGTTTATAACCCAAAGATCTCGGTTTCTTTCGATATCGCGCATATCGGACCATAACTTCCTGAATTATGGCCCCTGATTGTACGAAAAATCGCGTTTTTAGCTTGTGGACCCTATAGAAGTCATAATTTTTATCTGATTTAAAAACCTGTATTATTATATCACCGTTACACCCTAAGGACGACTGAGTTCGAATTTCGTGAAAATAGGCCAAAAATTGACAGACAAAATGACCGCTGTTCGTTCTCAAATAGCGTAAGAATATGGTATATCAAGGTTGTGGACCCTATAGAGATCACAATTTTTATCCGATTTTTTTGAAACTTGAAATGTAAGTTTTTAACCCAAAGATTTCGGTTCCTTTCGATATTCGCGCATATAGAACCATAACTTCCTGAATTATGGCCCCTGATTGTACGAAAAATCGCGTTTTTAGCTTGTGGACCCTATAGAAGGCATAATTTTTATCCGATTTAAAAAAGCGTATTATTATATCACCGTTACACCCTAAGGACGACTGAGTTCGAATTTCGTGAAAATCGGCCTAAAATTGACAGACAAAATGGCGGTTCTCAAATAGCGTAAAAAATATGGTATATCAAGGTTGTGGACCCTATAGAGGTCACAATTTTTATCCGATTTTATTGAAACTCGAAATGTAAGTTTATAACCCAAAGATCTTGGTTCCTTTCGATATTCGCGCATATCGGATCGTAACTTCCTGAATTATGGCCCCTGATTGTACGAAAAATCGCGTTTTTAGCTTGTGGACCCTATAGAGGTCATAATTTTTATCCGATTTAAAAAAAACATATTATTATATCACCGTTACAACCTAAGGACGGCTGAGTTTGAATTTCGTGAAAATCAGCCCAAAATTGACAGATAAAATGGCCGCCGTTCGTTCTCAAATAGCGTAAAAATATGGTATATCAAAGTTGTGGACCCTATAGAAGTCACAATTTTTATCCGATTTTGTTGAAACTTGAAATGTAAGTTTATAACACAAAGATTTTGCGTTTTTTTGTCTACAGGCTAAAATTCTGAATCTGAATGGATCATCTTGGAACTTGGCATATTTATTCCTTATATCGTAAGAATAGCAACTATTTATTTTGGGTGCATGTCCCGATCCGCAGGGGCCGTGTCACACACTTTTTTTTAAAAAAAAAGTACCATATGAATCAAAGCAGGAATGTGGACGTATATAGCAGCGATATCGATGCTCTCGTTACTGTGAATGTGAGTACCACCCCTTCTTCTGACCTTGTAAATTGATCGCGTAAATAATTAATTTCCGTCTGCAAATAAGGTTCGTTATAGATTCTATATGTTCTAATATGTTCAGTTCTATTATGCATTTGTCTATACTGCAAAATGCAGAATGGAAGAGTGTAATGTGCAAAATAACTATTATACTGTAATTTGTATTATTTAGTGTATTAAGAGTGTATTATCGTTACTAATTAAATATTATTTACGTACATATTTCCACATTTTTATCTTGTCGTTATGATATTTTTACAACATAAAATATCAAAAGACCATCAAAACATGACCAGTATGACTTTAGGCCATTCAGCGAGTCGACATATTTTTGCTGACTTTATAAATCCAGCCCGACCTTCAATAATTGAAATGGATGCAATGATCGGAATACGGCTGCTTCTAATGTACCAGTCAAAAATTTTGATATATAAAAATCAATCCGATACAAATACAATCAATGAAAGTGGATCTAATTGAAACTATTGTCATTCGATTAGATCGTAAGAAGCATGATCTCTTTGATTAAAGGGCTTATGGCTCTATTCTTTGGAACCTTAAAATAGACGAAATGGGTCTAAAAGCACATGGATGTACATTATATAATATGATTTATATTATGGATATTATGTTCAAATATACTTATTATGTGATTTCTTATGAATTAAATTATCTTCACGTCATATTTAATAAAAAATTCACAAGCCAATGTCTTATTTCAGGTATCTGGCCTCACCCCATGTCATTATCAGCTCATGAACCCTTGCTACACTGTTATGAGGTGGTCGTTCTGATTAGTTGTCTTGCCACGGTTTCGTTTACTACATCGACTAATCGGAGGATAAACACGATAGCATACCAGCAACTGGGCCATATCCCCTGCGCTATGTTGTTACGACTTGTGCGGTAGCTTGAGATTTTAATTGGCATGTACTGTTCAATAATATGTATATACATATATAACAGAAGTAATGATCTGGTTATGCATGTTACTGTATGCTGCTAATTTGGGAATATACCTACATAAAATTGAAATTCGATGTACTTCGAAAACCCATCGAAATCAGAATTCATGCCCGAGTTTTCTTTAAAATGGGCGAGACGACTAGCTTCATTTGAATCCACGATTACGACCATGCTAATGGGCACGAAGTGGTCGCAATCGTTGTAGTACTATGCTATGTTTCGAACGATCAATTTTCTGTTCGACCTAGCGTTATCTCTCCATCTCAATATTAGATTTGATTAACGTCGGCAGTGTGAACGCTTAAATGCGCAATCCCATATTTCACAATCTTCTTAATAATATGCAAAAATGACACCAACTGATGCACAAGCCCCTAATACGAGTGACGCAGTGCGAGCTTTCTGTGGGGGTACGGGGGCATGCCATTTCCTTGACTTTGGGAGAAGATTTTGCAGAATTCTGATGGTCAGATAACACGCATGGGAATTCTTTTTATTTATTAAGAATTTAGCAAGAACGTGCAAAGTACTGTGAATCTGTGAAAGTGATAATAATTACAACATTTACATATATTCGATATATTGTTGTGAATATACATGCTACACGTGAACATATAGGCTCAAATAAAGAATAATAAAATTCGCAGTATTTTAGTTTCGTTTGGTTTCGTGCCTAACGAAATAAAAAAAATAAAAGGAGACTTTTGAGGTTCATAAGATCAGGATTATATAATTTATAAATTATTTGCTGATATTAAAATATCATCCGCAAATGACCTAATCAGCCTTTATAATATCGCCCAAGTTAAAGACACTCTCCCATGTACAAACTGGGTGATTTGATGATGTATTTAGACTAAAAACATATTCAAACTAATTAATCTATAAAAAATTTACTTCAAATCCCTCCCAAAACATTGTATTCACGAGGAAATACCCCAAGCTATAAAAGAAGTCATGTTTGTGTCACGTTAATTGGTGGTCGCGGTAACTAACACGGGTGCCGAGCGGAAAGATAATCCATTGCATATATAAAAGACGGTGTCCATTAACCATAAGTATCGAAGCCTAACTTAATTCTCGGATTATCCCCTGCCCATGTCTTTTTCCGCAGAAACTGTTGTAGGTTTAAAGGGCTAATCCCGATAATTTTTTGGAGAAAAAAACTGTTTAATTTTCTTTTAAAATCCCTTAAAATCCTCTACCTAAGGGCCGAGCAACTAACTCAATATTTGTGATACGTTTTCAAATAACTGAAACCCGTCAGCCTTCACCTGGAAATGGAGAACGGTGTCCCAAGCTGTATTATGGGGTGTCTAGAGAAAACCAGCCATTTTTTGTATAAAAATAATGTGTAGGTGAAATTTACTTTTCATTATCAAGTACAGCATTTGGGCCATTCACTGTATAGACCTCTCAATGAACGGGAATCGATTATCAGGTCTCCCAACGAAAAAATTGACCCAAAATCTTAAAAGGGTTACGTGTCCGGATAAGCAGTTTTGACGGTCACGTCTAAACGACTCAATATTATGAGCTGAAATTTTGAGATACGGTCAATACACCATTCCTCTATATTTTGGCATTTAAATTGCATACATACTCAGACTTTTATTTTTGAGACTCTGTTCAATAAGGGACAGTCCCTTTAAGTCTCTCACTTTTTCCACGTCCGCTCACCATCAAGTTTATCAACATATACATCAAACACTCCTATATCGCAAAGAGGTCAGGGCCCTTATTCACGAAAACTTAAACTAAGTTACAACCGAAATTTTAAGAAATACTGCAACTCATTGGATATATGCAAATTGATTTTACTCGTCAGCCAATCGAATTGCAGTATTTCTTAAAATTTCGATTGTATCTTAGTTTAAGTTTTCGTGAATAAGGGCCCAGACAATCTACGCTGGCGACCTTTGACGTCACTAGAGCAGACAGTCCGTAATCGTGGGGCTCTCTCATTTTTGTCCTGTGCCCGCTCCACGGTTGTTTTGCAAGGAATCCAGTAATTTTGCATAATTTTGAGACTGATTGCAGTGACTGCACTTATTTTGAGACCGGCTATTTTTTCACTGGGCCCCACATTTACGAGTCTACTGTTATGTACTTGTCAAATTTCATTTCATTCTGATTGCTAATAAGGAACTTCGTACCTTTTGAAGTTTGAAATGTTATGACGTCATAATTTTGTAACTAAATCGATTCTGTTCTCTAAGTATTCTTCTATTAGTGTTTAACGTCCGCTTCCATCGGTGGTGATGTCGCAGACAAGCTGTCTTATTAGTATGCTTAGCGCACGCGCAGAGGTCTTTCCTATAGGAGAAAGCGGAGTACCCGGAGTAAACCCACGAGGTTGAGAAGGCGCCCCATCTCCATGCCATGTATACGCTCACATCATGGACCGAAACCACGACCGTAAGCCAGAGTTCAAGGGAGTCAAAGCGCGACTCTAGAACATCCAACCCCTTTCACTGTTTGCTAATTAGGGGTAGCATTACGAGTAAACTGAGACAACCCGGCCAAAGAACAATATGATGATCAAGATTTAGACGGTGTAAAAAGTAAATTTTAAGCCTGGCCAAGGAAGTTCCCGATGACAAAATGAATGTCAATAGGGTTCGTGGTAACGGTTGGCGTATTGGTCTCGAGTATAAAGCAGCTAAAAACGTTCCCGTCGCCAGTGTTACAATTCCCGACAGATTTTCCAAAAGTCATCTAGTGAAATAAATAAAACAAAGTCAGATTAACTGATTCCGAATATTATGGAAGTATTAGTCCAGCTGGGAAATCTTATGTAATTTTATCAACGGAAAATAATTGCCCAAAGTAACTAATGACTCATTAGTCGTTTGGAATGACACATTAGCTTCGACAATGACAAATCTTCATCGAGGAAAGCAGAAAATCCGTTGGTTAGTAATTGGCTGCAAAATCGTTGAACATCGATCATTTTACACTGCCAAATTATTTACCGTCGGACTATTTCAATAGTCATTGTAATTGTAAATGTAAATGATAATCATCTTTGATTGACATTTAGTAATTGAACATATTAACACAAGGTACAATTTTATGGATACACAATTACTTTGCTTGATAAAGACGAGAGTATCCTCGTCGAAACATCGCTTAGTTTCAAACTCAGTAATTGTGTATCCATAAAATTGTACCTTGTGTTAAATTATAATCAAATGACAAGTAGTTTAAATAATCTTTATTTTCTTGGCACGTCATGCATAAACAGTAGCTTGTCAATAGTATCGGGGTCAAGGGCGGCTCTTTTCTGGTGGAAAGCATTCCCATTATCAGAGAACATTCTTTCGGACGACACGGCTGTTCCTGGAATCGCAAGGAAACGTTTGGCTAGTTTTGAAAGGGTAGGGAAACGTTTGAAATGTGACTTCCACCACAGTAACGAATTCAAGGACTCGGTGCTTCCCGTGTTCAACACCACCTTTTCTAACTTGTACGATTCTAGTTCCTGTTTTGCATCATCCAGGATATTTTCTTCAGAGGTTTCATAATCCACAGGTTCCTGCTTAAATAACGCTTCTGTCGATTCAGACGATTGCTCCCCTAAATCGTAAAAATCACCCAAAAGAAATTGCATGGCTGATGATTTGTGGCGTTTTGCCTGCGGCTCGAGATTACTTGGCCTTTCTGTCGCATGTTTGAGCTTGATTTCGGTTAGCAACTCCAGTACATGATTCCACGTCTGTTCTCTTTGCTCATCGTCGAGAAACTTAATTTGTTTATAGCGAGGATCCAGAGTACTGGCAATGACCCATGGGTTAACACATATTTCGTTATCACTTATTGTTAAATACTGACTTGATAAAATGCTAGATACCTTTCTTTTGAACTCTTTAATATCAATGGAATCTTTGTCAGTTGGTTTCATGTGAATTGTGACTAGACCTTTTACTAGCGGATATACCATGCTACTAAAGGGATAAGATTCGGCACAAATTACGGTCGATGCTAAGTGTAAGGGTTCCAAGGTGATGGAGATTTCTTCAACAACATGCCAGTCCTTTTGAGATATTTCAAGCCTTACAGCATCTTCGGAAGTGACAATCGAATCGTTCTGTATAACAGATAAAATTGCCAATTTTTGTTCTGATGCCCGAGAAAGCATAAAATAAACAGAATTCCACCGAGCTAACGAACATTCAATTAAAGGATGTATGGGTAGGTTTAGATGCTTTTGTTCTTCTTTGAAAGCAGCAGTTGCCACTTCTGAGGTACAAATATAGGAAATAATTCGATTTATAGATTCAATTGTTTTGTGAATAGTTTGTATTGAAAGTCCCGCCATAACACTCTGTTTAAGAGTATTTCCTATGCATTTCATCGTAGGATAGCCTAGTTCAGATCTACAAACATCCATGTTAAGTTTGCAAGCCACGGTTATACAGTCGATATTAAGACAACTTATTTTAAAATTAACTAAAACATTATTAATTTCTGTAGCTATATCTTTTCCTGTGTGTTGGCCTTGGACTTCATATGTGTACAATACACGGTTTTGGTAATTCCAGTATTCATCAATAAAGTGGACCGAAAGGGTGAGATATTTTTCATTTGTAAAATTTGACCAAGCATCCATCGTAAATGAGACATATTCTTCATTCTTCAGACACTCTATTAGGTCCCGTTTGTTGGCGTTGTATAATTTTTCTAAGATATCCTTTGCTGATTTTACATTTGGCAG